GAAGAAGAAGAAGAAGAAGAAGAAGAGAGAGAGAGAGACGACACACACACACACACACACACACACACACACACACACACACACACACAGAGAGAGAGAGATAGAGAGAGAGATAGAGAGAGAGATAGAGAGAGAGACTGCGAGACTGTGAGACTGTGAGAGTAAGTGATACACAGCAACAAGAAATCAGCAACACACACACGCAAGAAGAAGTTCACAACACATACACAACAAGACTCCAAGAGTGTGAGAACACAACTGTTACAGTCACATATCACAACACAGCAACTTACACGTGACACAACACACACACAACAAGAGTGAAGATAGAGATAGAGAGAACGAGGACGAGCCACTGTCTGAGAGAGAGAACTTGCACAACTGCTACTGCACATATATAACAGCCCAGTTTCTGAATACTGACTGCTGACATCACCACAAGAGCGAAGATAGAGAGGGGACTCCGAGAGTCAGAGAAAGGATAAAATTCTCGTTTGCAATACTTCTTGGTGTACATTTACTGAATTTCTGAGATGGATGTGCCAATTAAAATTCTTAGATGTGAGTTGTGGTCTTTTTGTTTTATTAGGATTCTGCAGAATCCGCACTCCCGCAAACTATGCATACACAAATAAATAAATAGTACTTATTAGTAACTGACGGCTGCGGGCTGACCTGTTAGTACTATAGAGTATATATGTATGATTCTCCGCATCATTATATATGTACCGCAAATATTTTGTTATTGTTTTATAAAGATAGAAAAATAAAATCAAAAACGACAACAAAAAAATATTATTATATTTCATAGCCTTCTAAATTGCTAAAATAACTAAATACGTGTTGACACTTGACACTTGACACTTGACACTACTGACTACACTACATACTACAGTGACTACAGTAGTATTTTTGACAGTACTATTTACACTCGAGTATGTAGTATGTACTCGGTCTCGATTGTCTTTCTCGCTATTCTACATATGGAGCTATGGTGCACCATAAAAATTCAAAAAAAAATGAGCCTCTCTCAGAACAGTAGAGTTTAGAGAGAGAGAGTCCGCCAAATTGAAAACTGAAAAATAATTAGACTAATTTGAGGCTTTTTAAAATTTTATATCTGAGTACATAATTTGTTTGTCAGTAAATGTAGTGTACATACACATTTTTTTCTCCCCTAGGCCCGAGCCCCAGTCCCCATAACAAAAAGAAGAGAAGTCCCAAACAAAAGTCCGAGGCCCTTGGCAGAGGGCTAGAGCCTAGCTTAGACCTTCGCAGTTGGCACTCGACTCTCGCGACTGTCTTGACTCTCGAGACAGTCGAGAGTCCTCGACCGACTCGACAGGCAGAGTCGTTTAAAAAAAAGAGATTCAAAGTCAAGAGTCTCAGACTCTCAGACAGAGTCAGAAAGTGCAGAACTGCAGATTGTGTCAGATTTTGTTTGTTTTATAAATAAAATAAATTCAAAAATTCAAAAATTTAAACCAAGCCCCTGAAACTGACGAAAATTTGGTGGAAACTTGTGACCCTCCGTGGACCATATGAGTCTTCAGGTCTACACTCTACACCAAGACTAAGAGTCTCTGTACACACATCAAGCGCGCAGCATGACTCGTGCGTTATTTAACTCGACTGTCGACTGTCGACAGTGTCGAGTGAGTCGACTGTCGATAGTGTCGAGTGACTGCCGACACTCGACTGTCGACTTCCAAGTGTCGTTGATAACCACAGCCTCTACAGTCTACCGTTCTACACTCTAGTCTACACTCTACACTGTCTACAGTCGTCACTCGTCAGTCTTCAGACCACAGGCCTAACCTCATAACGTTTTGCGTCATGTATATAAACGTTAATTTTTAAACGTTTAACGATTATTTTTAGTGTTGTAGACCTGAATAGTGCACCTATTGTAAACCTTTTGGTCTCAGTTTTCAATAACAGAATGTGTTGTCAGGACAAAATATTGGTGTGTATATGCCTATTTCCTAACCTGGAATATGGCCCTCAAATATCAACGGGACACTGAAAAGGAATATACGTTTAATTTCCAACGTTTAACGGATCATTTATTTGCGTTGCAACTTATAACGATATGAGGCTAGCCACAGGCGGCTGGGCACAGCCGCACAGGCTGCCAGGCCCAACCTGCCAACAATAAGAAGTCGCCAACAGCCCAACACCAACAAGAGACTCTATTTATTACTAGAGAGTAGAGTAGAGTAGAGAGAGAAGGCTGAACCGCTGAAGGCGTTTCAACTTTCAACTTTTGTTGCAAGAGTTTGAGAGTAGTAGAAACTCTCTCCGTTTAGAGTAGAGAATAGAAGGAAACTTGTGTGTAATGACTCATGACTGTGAGTGTGTGTCGTGTGACTGTAACAGTGTGACTGTGTGACACACTGCCTGTGTGTGTGTGAATTGTGAGAGCAATGAGCATTCAGTTATCAGTAATATATTGGGTACATAGACGGGTACCCGAGCTCAAACCAACAAATTCACTGCTGGAGTCTGGAGTATTGAGTCTCTAGACTCTGAACTCTGGAGCCTCTGTTGGTCCCTCTCTGGAGTCTGGCGAGAGTCGACCGAAACTCTTCATAGTCGTTTTTTCAATTTTTTTCTTTTTAAACAATTACTCAAAGCACTGACTATGTACATACTGATCTGTTTTATTTATATTGTTTTTTAAAAACAAGTTTAAAAACATTATGAGGTACAAAACAAATACACTTTGTCTTTGGTTTGGTTTTTGAAAAATAAATCCCCAATTTTTTTTTTTTCAGAACGCTAAATATTTATGCTTTTTATATATTTTTATAAAGTGTAGTTGTTTCTGGGTTCGTTTTTTTAAAAGAAATAAAAACAACTGCAAAGACAAATACAACCAAACAAAAAATAACCATTCAAAACAAAACAAATCTTTGCAATTCTTGGCAATAAAATATAAAATATAGGCGAAATATTATTAATAATGTACATAGGTGAGTTGAAAACTTCTTGGATGCAAATCGTCAACTTCCTCTCTCTCCTCTTTGTGTGTGTGGGCTCTCTCTCTGTGGGGCAATGCGACGGGGTGCATTACGTATCAAATTGTCAATTGGTTGCAATTGCCATAGAGATAATAGGGAAATATCAAACATATAAGTATAAAGGCTATGTCGCTGGTCATCTCGACTCACATCAAATAAATACAATGTATAAAGAGTTCCTAGGGTAATTGTCAGATATCGCTATGCAAGGGTTGAATATTTTCAAATATTTCAGTCGCAAGTTTTCTGGACCTGCAAAGATGGACGATGGTAGGTACAACAGCGATCTACCTGAGATACAACCTACTGGGCCGGGCATGTTAAATATATCGAGCGCGCAGCGGATGCTCGCTGCGAACACAAAGATACCGGTACATATTCAATCTCTCTCCCAGCAAACAAATCAGAATGTAAATAAAAACACACACTTGAAAGATAGTTTAGGGCGCGACTACAGACAGCACAACCAATTACAACAACTGTTTGTTCAGACCATAAAGTTGTCGTCCCCAGACAAGAGACCTATCACCAGAGACACTGACCACAAACCAACATCTATAATGAAGCACTCAGCTTCAATCGAAAGCAACCAACACCTTGCTCTTGATACGGACAAACGGCCGGGTGCACTGAAATCATGTTTAACGAGTTCATCACAATGCCTGCGAATACCTCGGACCGCTCGAACGTCGAGTGATAGTCAAAGCAAACGGACAGGGTTCCAAGGAGATAGACTGCTGCAAGAACCCAGAATCATTGGAGCACGCCATCAACGTGATGTGAATTATATACCCGACAGCTATTGCGAGGAAGAAAAAATGACTCGTACGTATTCTCCCCGGCATCCACAGTACCACGCTAGTAAACAATACAGACCTTCTCGCGAAATTGTGCATCGCCACTCATGCCCAATGAGAGTCTATCAGTCTACACAACTGAGCACTCCCAGAGCCTCGAATATGTTGGTCAAAAGCAGCTCAGCACCCGAAAAAACGAATATACACAATGACAAGATACTCACAGTTCAACAGAGAGGAATCCGAGGTCTAAGCAACAATTCTTATACTGGTACCGATGACCAATTAATTTTGGGTACATTATTTAAGCGAGAATCAAGCGTAGGCAGTCTCGACTTGATGGCTTCACAATGTGATAACGAATTACGGGTAGGGTTTGAAGAATACGCGGATATCCATCAAACGTATCATAGTGATGTATATGATCGGTCACCCTCAGCAAAGACAACTGGAAGCGGAGAAGAAATGATGGCAGTTTACTACGACCTTATGAAATTTAAAATTACAGAGATGGTCGTCCATGAGAAATCCCTCATGAACACCAACAAACATCTCTTCCACTTGAGGCCGAACGAGCGTGCTGACATGCTCAATGTGACGGATCGAATATTGACAGAGTATGAAAATCAGAGACAAGATAGTACGTGGTAACTAGCGCAGAGATGAAAAATACAAATCTTCCGGATATGGTCGAAAAGTCGGACGAGTCTATTAAAAGCTATGTCAAGCGGAAAAATGCAGATAAGTGTCGTGAAATTAAGACTATCTAAATTAGTAGCTGCGGACACGCTCAGGGGAAATGACAACCATGGATAGCAGTACCCGGACTAGTTTCTCACTTATCTACATAAACTTGTACGGTTTTCTAAACAGGCTGAAAATCAATATCGAGTATGCTCGAAATCCGCAAATATCAATATATATATATCTTGTACAGCTACTATTAAATGCTCTCGCAGAACATATATTGGGTATATATACCCTACTATTAAAAGCTCTAGCAGAACAAATATTGGTTATATATACCCTACTATTAGAAGCTCTCGCAGAACATTTACTGTTTATATATACTCTACTATCAAAAACTCTCGCAGAACATATCTTAGTTATATATACTCTGCTATTAGAATATTTCGCAGAACATATAATGGTTATATATACTCTGCTATTAGAATATTTCGCAGAACATATAATGGTATATATATACTCTGCTATTAGGATCTATCGCAGAACATATATTGGTTA